CCCCCCCCCCCCCCCCTCCCACCGCACATCACTGAGAAGGGGCCTGTGATTGAAAGATCGCTGGTTCAACTCCCAGTACTGACAACATCTAAAAATTGTGGGTGGGATAGGTGAAGCACCCACACCTGCCTCCACCCTCATCTGCCCCACTCTGGGCCATTGAGCAAGGCCTTGAACCCCCAGCATCTGCTCCTCTGGGCACCCAGCTCTCTGCTCCAGCCAGAGGGCTGTGGTAGCTCAGTGGTCTGTCAGGAAGGGTGTCCGGAGTAAAAATAATTGTAAAGTCTTCTTGTGACTTAGTTCACTGTGGTGACCTCTGAAGAAGGGAGCAGCTGAAAGAAAAAAAAAATGTTTCTGTTCAGCGTCCTGAGATGACTTCTGCTGTCACTTGGTGCTCTATCAATAAAATGAATCATCTGTCTCTGTAGAAAGATGGACTCTGGATTGTTTGGAAATGACCTTTAACCCCTCCCTTAATGGGCAGCAACAGGTGCTTCTCTAAGGTAATTGCTGATGTCTTTCCATGTTGGCGTTGCGTTAACTCTCACCTGTTTGCTCTGGAGCAACAAACAGATCAACCTCCTGCTGTTGTAGAGGAGCTCAGACTGATGATGATCAGTGGATCAGTATGTTTGATCAGCAGCTGATCGTGAACCTCTGATGGAGCAGCATTTACCTTCATCAATAAATAACAACATGCTGGAGTCTGAGACACTGGAGGCTAGATATAAATCATTTTAGACCTGATCAGTTTAAATTTGTCTGACTTTAGTTAAAGTAAATTAATTTAAATGAAGTTGTTAAGTTTTTTTTCTTCCTTTTTCTTTCCACTGTCGCAACTGTGCTGGCTCAGGATGAGAGACTGAAATGAAGTGAAGATTCAACTTATCTGCTGGATTCCTTAGAGAACTTTACTAATTGGCTTTTATGTATGTGAATGTTCCTGTAAAGTGCCCTGAGACAACTTTGTTGTGAGTTGGAGCTATATAAATAAACTGAATTGATTTGAGTTAAGACCCCGTGACCCAAAATGGAAGAAGTGGATAAAAGATAATGGATGGATGTGAGTTCAGCTGAAAATGGAACAACTTTTTTCTCCATTATAAAGAAAGGACGTTGGTTTAAGACTTTTGCACAGAGTCAGCACTCCCATGTCTCAACTCTACAGCCTGGCTGACCTCGGTTGACCTGGGAGGGGTCACAAGGGGAAATGGGCATGGGTAAAAGCCCCTCATGCGTGACCACGCTCCTTTGCGTCAATGCGTAAAGGCCGTGGGTGGAGGGACCGTTGACTCCCTCCTCCCAGGGCCCGTATATGGAGGGGAGTGTGTGTGTGGGGGGGGTTTGGGGGTTGAGTCGTTTCTCAAACAAACCAGCAGTAGGCTGAGCTGGATACAGCACCTCAGACTGAGGAAGTCTTTCGGATGAAAGACAAAACGTTTCTACATTTTTTTTGTTGTTTTGCTTTGTTTTGTTTTTTGAATGTCCAGAGAACCAGATTTAACTTTAGACAGCAGGAGAACTGTTGCATTCTGAACCGGACCGGACCGGCCTGAGGTTTCGGGTGAACATGGTGAGGGGGCTACTTGTCCTGCTCGTCCTGGTGGGGGGAGGCGCGGGACAGAAGCCGAGCGGGGGCTACTGCATCGGGACTGGATGTTTCTCTTTGTTCCGGGAACCGACTGATTTCAGAACCGCGCAGAGGCTCTGCAGAGACCGGGGGGGTCACTTGATGACGGTGCGCTCCTCCGTGTCCAACGACGTCCTGTCCGTCCTGCTGGGGAGCCTCACCGGGGGCTTCTGGATCGGGCTGCACCGGCTGGGGGGCTGTCCCGACCCCGCGGGGGGACTGCGGGGCTTCCAGTGGGTCACCGAGGACTCTGAGAGCGACATCACCAACTTTGTTCCGAGCTTCAACAGCAGCTGCTCCGCGCACGGCTGCGTGTCCGTGAACAGAGAGGACAGCTTCAGATGGAGACAGAGTGCGTGTGCGCGGCCCGCCGCGGGCTTCCTGTGCGAGCACAGCTTCACTGAGCCGTGCCGGGCCCTGCCGGCCGAACCGGGCCGCTCAGTCCTGTACATGACTCCCTACGGGTTCGGGGTGGAGGACGTGCACGCGGTGCCGCCTGGAAGCACCGTGACGCGCGGACCGTCTGGCACTAAACACATCTGCATCTCTGCGCAGTGGGTGCACGCGCCCTGGAGCTGCCAGATCCAACAGGGCGGGTGCGAGTACAGGTGCACGGAGGGTCCCGGGGGTGGGGCCGTCTGCTCCTGCCCCCCGGGACAGACCGTGGACCCAGCCAACCGAGTGTCCTGCACCGCGCCGGGCCCGTGCGCGGCGCGGCGCTGCCAGCAGACCTGCTCCACTGCCGCGGACGGGTCCGCGATGTGCGGCTGCGCGCACGGCCTGACGCTGGCCGGGGACGGCCGCTCGTGCGTGGACGTGACGGAGTGCGCAGACGCGCGGCAGTGTCGCGGAGAGAACTTCAGGTGCGTTAACACGCAGGCCGGCTTCGCGTGCGTGTGCGCTGCGGGGTTCAAGAAGAGGGGGGACCGGTGCGTGGACGTGGACGAGTGCGTGTCCGCCCCCTGCGAGCACATGTGCGTCAACACGCAGGGCAGCTACATGTGCGCGTGTTATGATGGGTACCGAGCGGACGACGAGGCGCCCGACAAGTGCAGACTGTTCTGCGGGGGGGCGGAGTGTCCCGCCACGTGCGACCCCAACGACCCACGCCAGTGTTTCTGTCCCGAGGGCTTCGTCTCTGAGGAGAGGCCGGAGGGGGTGTTCTGTCTGGAGATAGATGAGTGCAACTACGACTACTGCGACCACACGTGCGTCAACACGCCCGGCAGCTACGTGTGCTCGTGCCACCCGGGGTTCAAACTGCTGGACCAGTACAGGTGCGTGGAGAGCGAGGAGGACCTCGAGGGCTCTCGGGTGGCCCCCACCTCCAGTGTCCCTTGGTCCTCATCAGTCCCGTCCCCAGAGCCCACTCGGAGACCCTCAGCGGTGACCCTGCCGGGGCTGGTGGGGGTCATTGTGTGCACGGTGTTGCTGCTCGTGCTGCTGGTTTTTGGAGTTCATGTTGGACTCGGACACAGAGAGAGGAGAAGGAGGAAGAGCAGCACCGCAGAGGACGAGACGCACGATTTACAGACGGCCACGAGCCTCAGGAAATAAAACACGACGTGTGGATGTAGAGCTGCAACAACAGGAGCTGT